AGTACCCTGGTTAAAAAAGCAAAAAGCAATGGGTGGATCAAAGGTTTTGAGGTAGCTAGAAGTGGAAACAATAGTCTGGAAATCACACATCTTCAATATGCTAATGACACATTAATTTTCTGCGACGCAAAAAAGGTGTAGCTGAGGTTTCTAAAAGTTATTCTAGTACTGTTTGACGGGATTTCAGGACTTCATGTTAATTGGAAAAAGAGTCATCTTTACCCAATAAATGAAGTGCTTGATATGGAACAATTGGCACTAATCTTGGGAGGTGAAGTAGAAACTCTACCTACTGTCTATCTTGTCATGCCTTTGGGTTCCAAATCTAAATCCAAAGAGATATGGAACAATGTTATTGAAAAGTATGAGAAGAAGCTTTACAGATGGAAATCCAGTACCTATCAGTGGAAAGAAGACTCACCGTCATCAACTCAATTTTAGATGCACTCCCAACATATATAATGTCACTCTTCCCTATTTCTGCAAGAGTCATACAGAGATTGGACAAACTAGGAATAACCTTTTTGTGGAAAGGGAACAGAGAAAAAAAAGGGTTTTCACTTAGTCAAGTGGAAATCTCGTATAGTTGGCAGAGCTCATGGTGGACTAGGCATCAGAAATTTGAAGGATCATAGCAAAGACTCTCAAGATGAAATGGCTATGGAGGTATTCTCAAGAACCCCAAACCTTATGGGGTAATGTGATCAAAGCCAAATATGGTGAGGAAGACAAGTGGATAACAAAGGATGTAAATACATCATATGGAGTTAGCTTATGGAGATCCATCAGGTCACTCTGGCCTATTCTAAAGAACCACTCATCCATCAAAGTGCAAGATGGCAATAAAACCTCATTCTAGAAAGATAACTGATTGGGAGATGGATGCTTAAAGGACCTCTACCCTGATATGTATGTTCTGGCACAACATCAACACAACATAGTAGCTGAAATGTGGTCCCCATAAGTATGGACACTTGTTTTTAGAAGAAGTTTGAATGATTGGGAGGTGGCCAGGATGACTAACTTCTACAAACATCTGGAAAGATTCATAGGTTTACATAGTGGGGTGGACACAATAAGGTACCAGGGAAATAACAGTGGCATCTATAAGGTGAATACAACATACAAGATCCTGAATCAAGCTAACCAGCAGATTAATAACTGGCCTTGAAAGCATATATGGAAAATCAAGATTCCCTGTAAGGTAGCATGTTTTTCTCGGTTACTAGCAAAGGAGGTTGTTCTGACACAAGACAATCTTATAAAGAGAGGGATTCAATTGTGCTCAAGATGTCACTTATGCGGAGAAGATGTTGAGACAGTTAGCCATCTATTTTTACATTGCAAGATAACTGATCAGTTATGTAAGATCTTTATTAATCTCAGGGGCATAGCTTGGACAATGCCTAGTAAGATTACTGAAGTTCTTTTCAGCTGGGATAAAGCTGGAACTGGAGCAAGAGAAAGAAATAGATGGAGAACTATCCAGCATGTATTTGGNAGGATGAAGGTGGAACTGGAGCAAGAGAAAGAAATAGATGGAGAACTATCCAGCATGTATTTGGTGGACAATCTGGAAAGAAAGGAATTCCAGATGTTTTGAGGATAGAAGAAATTCTGTGCAGAAGATCAAGTTTAATTGTGTTTTGCTTTTTTTGCTTTTGGTGTAAGCAGATCTACGCAGAAGATACTGTTTCAACCCTAGATGTCCTAAAATCTTGTTAGGCCCGAGGTCCAAGTTTTTTTCTTTTGGCTACTCACTTGTAAATAAAGTTTCAGTACAACCTATGTACTGATTTTATTATAATATACAGTGTGTGTGTATATATATATATATANCAATTAATAAGACACTTAGGCATGTGAAATATACATAAAAACATATCTTAAATTTAATTAATATGGCATATAAATATACAAAAAATATATATATATATAAAATATATCCTGAATTAAAATGGCACTTGACATATAAAATATATTTGAAATATACATTAAAAATATCTTAAAATAAGATGGCACTTCACAAATAAATATACAAAAATTATATGCATAAAAATATATTTTGAATTAAAGTGATACTTGATATACAAAGTATAAAAAATGTATAAATCACCACATCTTGAATTTAGGTCGCATTCACATATGCATCAGATTTTTAAAAATGGAGTGAAAAAGATGAATGTTGGAAAGGGAGAATGGAGATGGACAAAAAAAAGTACTTCCCGTGATTAGTGAGTCAGTTAACTTATTAAATACTGAGCTTAATATTTATAATATGCTAATAATGAAAAAAAATGCTCTTTATGGAATAAATAATAAATGATGCTATTTTTTAAAATAATAGTTAAAAAAGGATCAAACGTGTAAAAACACTCTAGCTGAATTGTGGGGATGCTAACTCCGGCCCTGTTCTTTTCCTACCACAAGCATAAAGCGGGTAAAATTAAAAAATAGCCAGATTTGTGTGTGGTAATTAAAAAATAGTCATATTTTCAAAAGTAATCGAAATTTAGCCACTTTTCATATAAAGATAAATCTGAACAAAAACACTGTCCAAAATCCGAAAAATATTCCAGCATAATATTCTGGAGTTCAAATTTTTTGCATGTGAACTTCTAGTATAACATGCTGGAATTTCATAATGTGCTTCAGTTTCAACATAATATGTTGGAAGTTTATACACATGTGCTCCAATATCTAGTATATTATGCTGGAACTTTCCTTGTGCTGGAGTTCCAACCTAATATGCTGAAAGTTCATACACAGGTGTTCCAATCTCCAGTATATTATGCTGAAAGTTTCCGTATTGCAGCAAGATAGTGACTATTTTTTATGACTTTACAAATGATGACTATTTTTTAATTAACAGTACAAAAACTGGCTAACACGTGCTATTTTAACGAAACATTTCTTTTCCTAGACTTCTGTAACTATTTGTACAGACAAAGCTCGCCGGAGCCCAGTGGTGTTTTTGTTTTTGTTTTTGTTTTTGTGTTTCTCTAACGAAGTTTTACATTCTTAGTCCCTCAAATATCGATAAATATATAGTTTGGTCCTTATTATATCCGACTAAGCAAAATTAATCTTTAATTAGTTGAAATGTTCACTTTTGATCCATCTGTTTGTGAATCTGTATAAATTTAATGAATTATACATCATTACATCATTATTTTACGAATTATATTAAATTTGTATTATCATTCCATATTTATGGTAATATAATTCTAAAAAATAGTATAAACGTTACATATTTCTAATAATAAGGGATAAAAAAATAAATATTTTAATGAAGTGAAAGTTAAAATGTATTTAGTTCTAAATCACAGGGACTAAAATTAATTAACTAATAACTAATGGTCCATTTTTTTTTTTTTTTTTTTTTTTTTTTTTTTTTTTTTTTTTTTTTTTTTTTTTTTTTTTTTTAAAGGATGTTCAGAACTCGTAAGACTGGAGCCAGCCAGCCAGGTGTTCCAAATAATAAACTTAGAATTTGGATTACCACAACTCAACCACTCTAATTCCTACTGTAGTAGCTCATTAGGAGTATAACTGTTGAACCACTTTGACCAAGCCATCTAAAGAATTGAAGTGCTCATGCAAAGATTCTATTTAATCGCTATTAAACTTCTAGAAAGTAAAATGTTTGTTAATGATGGAAAAAAAAAGGAATATGATGAGCAATTAGATGTAATTCGATTCTTTTAACCATCTTGGGACTGTGTAATTTCTTTGATTAAAATCATATATAAGAAATATTTTGGAATTTTGATTTTGTTGGACAAGGTGGCACTCCATCTCAATAATAAAATATCTATTAAATGGGTGAAAAAAAAGTTCGAGGTCCGTTACTTTTGCGCATATTTGAGCCAGTCCACTAACAATAGGGCATATCTAAGACCAAATTCAAATAGAGGGTAAATGTTTTATTTTTCATGGTTGAGGGATAAATTTGAGCCATTCCACTACTTATAAGGACATATTTGTGATCATATTCAAATTGAGGGCAAATTTACTTTATTTTCTCATAGTTGAGTAGAATTTTTGGCCCTTTTTCCAAAAAAACAAAAACAAGAAATATTAATCTGCTTAAAGCTTAGAACGTTGTATTAACATTAGACATATATATTGCCATGTTTTGACTTAAAATATACATTGTATATTAAGTATTCCTAGATAGTTGAGTCCGCACAGTCAGATCCCATATCCTTTCTACAATCAAATATTAATACTTTATTATAATTATCCCCATTCTGCAAATTTCACGAGCCTTAAAATTTGTGGTGCAGCAAAGCTAAAGCTAGCTCAGCACTCAAGCATCTTTTGTACTCTTAAAAACAAATGAACTTGTACATAATCTAGCCACTATTTAGTGTAACAAAGTGAACTGCAACTTTTAATACACTATATGTAAATGACTTTGTTTAAGACAATTTCTGAGCTTCCAAATTGACTGCTCACATTATTTGTTGATATCTCTTTGCCAAATAATGGCATAACATATAGATTTGTTCAACAGCAATAATCGAACAACTTTTATTAACTCTAGATAAATTTTAAAAAAATCATGCCAACCTTGGACAATCATAGAAATTTGCATGTTCTAAGCAATAATGAAGACCAAACAAAATTTGAACCATTTAAAGTAATCAAGAAAAGCAATGTGAACGAGATGAAAAATGGAGGCTATAAGTGCAAGTGCAGAGCAAAACAGAAGAACAAAAAGCATACTATTATATAATCAAAGTTAAAAAGCAGATTGAGCTTCCATTAACCTGATCCAATGCAAAGTCCATTAATTAAAGTGAAGTTGAAATTCTCAGCACTTTGGCTCCTACGTATCCTCCACTAATCTTGCATAGTCTAAAAACAAAATACCACCAATAGTTAATTGTCCCACACGTTTATATAAAGCAATGGGAAGGCCCACAAATCAATGAAAGTAACCCAATGATTAGGATATAAATACCACTCTAAACTTGATAATCTTGCATGCTAAGCAATCAACTTTGTAAGTGAGGCTATTGTATCCAAAGGTAAACCGAGTAAGATGGGAAATACCATTCTAAACTTGTGTTTTGTTTTTCTTTTTATGTCTATGGTTTTGCCTGTTCTTGGCCAAGGAGGACTAAAAACCGGGTTTTATTCATCGTCATGCTCAAAAGCCGAGTCTATAGTAAGATCAACCGTTGAAGCAGAGTTTAATAAAGATCCTACGATTGCTGCAGCTTTACTTAGGCTTCATTTCCATGATTGTTTTGTTCAGGTAAGTATTCACAGTATAGAGTTTTTCTAATTATTTTCTACTTTGCTATTATGAAAAGATAATTGCTTTATAGGGTTGTGACGGTTCTATTTTGATATCGGGAACTTCTGCTGAGAGAAATGCAGTGACTAATTTGGGACTAAGAGGATTTGAGGTGATTGATAATGCAAAAAAACAGCTTGAGACTTCATGTCCTGGTGTTGTTTCCTGTGCTGACATCCTAGCATTAGTTGCTCGTGACGCTGTAGACTTGGTAACTACTTCAACTTTGCTTTGACAACTTACAATGATTATAGATTAGAACGAGTAATTTTATTGAGTCTCACATGTCAAAGTCATACTTGTGTATTGCCAGGGGCGGAGCTAGCCCATGAGATACGGGTTCGGGCGAACCTAATAGTTTTGGTCCAAACCCTTTATTTATCTTACGAAATTTATTGAATATGTATTAATTATTAATTTAGAACCCAGTAACCTAAAATGATTAGAACTCCAAACTCATAATATTCAAATCCCGACTCCGCCTCTATGTATTGCTCGTGACTATGTATACTTGGTAACTACTTCAACTTTGCTTTCACATATTATATTACAATCATTATAGATTAGAACTTTTCATCTTATATATAGCACTTTTTTTTTCTATTCTGTTTAAAAGCAAGGAGACCCTTCAATATTAAGAATTACTTTGAATTTCCTATTTTAACATTAATGACAAGCTATGTTCTAACCGTAGTTTTGGTATGTGAAAAAAGTTTATTTGTCCAGTCAAAACACTTTTGTATAAAATGAAATAGATGGAGGGAGTAGTTTTAATCAATCATATGCAAAACATATTTTTTCCATCATTTTTCCTTCGTACTAGTCATCAAAAGAGAAAACTTACTTGTGTATGCATTTTAAAGTATATGTAGTGAAAATATAACGTTTGTGATAAATTTTTGATGAATAACGAGACTATTAATATTTGATCTTGTTGCATGTTACTTAGAGTGGAGGTCCAAGCTGGGGAGTGCCTACTGGAAGAAGAGATGGTAGGATCTCTTCATCGTCAGAGGCCTTAAATTTACCTTCACCGTTGGATACAATTGATGTCCAAAGGAAAAAGTTTACAGCCAAAGGCCTAGATGATCATGATCTTGTCACCCTTGTTGGTATATTCTCATTTTTGTTATACTATTACTATTATTATGCTTGCTCGGTTTCGATTTGTTTGAACCTTTTCAGAGTACGAGCGTCAATTGATTAATATTCGGTGTGAATTCGGACATGAATTCTTTAAGTATTTTAAAATAAAATTTATATATTTATAAACTGTATAAAAAGTACTATAAGTTAAAATAGTTGACAATTCAAAATATTTAAAAATTATTTACAAAAAGATATGGCAAAAAAAATCTTATTTGACTCCCCAAATAGTAAAAATGTTCATTATTTTTGAAGCGGATGGAGTATATAACTATTTGCTGACTGACTAAGCTAGACCATTGGAGCGGAGAATAACGAAAAAGTAATTTAAAAATATAAATCAATAAAAGGTGGAGTATAGTACAGTATTTAAAAAAGATACTTTTATAGAAAAGATTTTCATTTCAAGGATAAAAAAGTAATAAATTTCCATATATAACTTGGACAGTGGCTGCCCACTATTTAATATAACACCATACATTGTTGCGTGATAACTGATAAAAGAAAAACAAAAAACTGTATTTGAACATAAGTTAGTCCATATATCAGGGGACAAGCAAATTCCTATGCAAATACGACGCATAGTCTAAAAAGAAAAACATAAGGGATATGTGTTTTAAGACAAAGAGAATGATAAATTTTCTAGAACTAAACTGTAATTACTTATAATTACCCTTCAGAAAAGAATTTAAACTGCCACTTTCTTGAAATGTATGTAGGTGCACATACAATTGGCCAGACAGAATGCAGATTCTTTAATTATCGACTATACAACTTCACAACAACAGGAAATGCAGATCCAAGCATAAACGTAGCATTCTTGGCACAATTACAGACTCTATGCCCCAAAGGTGGCGATGGTTTGAAAAAGGTAGCTTTAGACAAAGAAAGCCAGTTGAATTTTGATGTAAGTTTTTTCAAGAATGTAAGAGATGGAAATGGAATTCTTGAGTCAGACCAGAGGCTGTTGGGTGACCCTTCCACAAGAAGGATTGTGGAAAATTATGCAGGGAATGTAAGGGGATTGCTAGGATTGAGATTCAATTTTAACTTTCCAAAGGCTATGATCAAAATGAGCAGCATTGAGATTAAGATTGGCACTCAAGGGGAGATCAGAAAAGTTTGTTCCAAGTTCAATTAAAGAGCTATTTATTAGCTAGCTGGAATGCTAGTGTTTATATATATTATTGTATAACGGAGATTTGTAACGTGAATATATTTTTATAAAAGCTTCAAGATATTTTCTTCCTATTTTGTCGCAACCGAAATCTCACGAGATCTAGATCTATATACTACATGCATGGTGCATATATAAGAAAATAGTATATATGACTATGCAGTTCTACTGTTCTACTATGTAATACAAGTACATAAAATTCATAATATTAAACTAGCAAGTGAAGAATGCCAATAGTATTATTCTAGTATATGATTACGATGTCCAAGTAGTCATACAATAAAATATCCTATCATGTTACACTAGTATAAGAGAGATGTCTATAACATGACACTAGCATGTGAAGATGCATGCATGTAGAGTCATGACAAAAGTTAATCAAGTAAAGCATACAAAATGAAGCATATGCTAAACAACACATAAATAGCCTAAAATCTATCCAAAGCATGGTACAACCTCGACATCTATATTTATGCTGGTCACCTCGTATATACATCGCATCCAAACACGTAGCACGTAACACATAAGTCTATTTTAGAAAATTTTCTTAAGTCGAGGTTAATCAAAACACTTACCTTATCTCAAGCTAACTCTATTCCTCAAAATTTGCTTTTTAACTCCAAATCCACCAAACCAGTCCCATCTAGCCCAAAGAATCATCATCAACAATAACAACCCAGTGAAATTACACTAGTGAAGTTTGGGGAAGGTAGTGTGTACGCAGACCCTACCCCTATTCCGAAGAGGTAGATAGACTGTTTCTGAAAAACTCTCAGCTCAAGAGGAAAGCCCAAAGAATCAATACTAAAAATTTCAATTTTAGACAACACTCAAAAAAGTGTTCCCAAAAATATCTATATGAACGTTTTCAAGGAGTGCCCTTTGGTAAGGGTCTACGGCCGTGAGATTTAAGGCAACACTTCTAAGTCTGCCCTTAAAATGTAAAGATAACATTTGTTGATCAATTAAAAAATATTAGTTAATTTACCCGCGCTTCTTGCTATTAGATATATACTTTTATAAATATTATTGATACAAAAAGGATTAAGAATAAACATATAATGCAAGATATACATATAAAAAAAATTAAATGCGAGGATATACTAAAACAATTATTCATGTGAATAACCTTTTTCGTTTGCCTTTTTACCGTCCAAATAAAACTATCATAAAATGGGTATATCTAAGTAATATTTTTTGATCCTGCCCTCAACTAACTTCTTTAGATTCGGAGTTTTTCTTCTGCTTTGTTGAAATGCCCGAGTATTTGATCTTTCATTTATTTTCTGAAAAAATATATATGATAGTAATTCATATATTTTTTTACAAGCACATGATCGTATCTTGTGTCCGAAATAAGGGTGCCATGTGGGCCGGTTAGGACCGGGACCGGCCCAGGACCGCAAGCTCAAATGGGCGGTAGGCCTAAACGGTCCTAATCGGATAGGACCGAGACTGTGGAGAGGTGGGCTGGGTAGTGGGCCGGTCCTATAGGCGAGGCCCGCGAGACCGGGATCGTTTGGGACCGGGACCGGCTGAGAAGTGGGCCGGTTCAAGCGGTCCTAAACGGGCCTATCCGGGCCCAACGAATAATTTTTTTAAAAAAAAGAATATGACCGTTTGGCCATTTAAAAACTTGTCGTTTGGTCTGCCAAAATAGCCGTTGGCTATTTGAAAAATAGCCATTTAACCCCCAAACTTTTTATAATTACACTTTTCCCTATTTTCAACTATAAATACCACCTCATTCTTTTATTTTTCTAACAAAATTATCAATCTCTCTCTAATATTCTTCTATAATTGCTTACTTAATTGTTATAATTTGTGCAAAATTGTGAAGTTGGTGAATTGAAATCTTCAAGTCTTCAACGATAATTAATTTTTAACAAGTTGTTCATCAATTCGGTAAACTCGTTCCAACTCTTACGTTTTAATATTATAGTTTTATTTATTTTATTTACTTTGCTTGATTAATTAAGATGGCTTATTCCTTAAAAAAATATTTAGTAAAAATAAGGAAAAATCCAAGAGTGGTGAATCTAGTGGCCAATCTGTTCCTCCTCTACTTTTTCCGACTCCCCGACCCAAACCTATTATCCGTCCTATACCTCCTATTCTTGATAGTGCTAATAGTTTATTACAATTTACCGAGAGTCAATTTTGCCATAATATTGCACCCGGTGAACAATTAAACCATAAATATATGAATGCTCTTTATGGTAATCCAACTATTGATGAAAATGATGATGAAGAAATAGATTTTGATGAAACACAACCGGATGACGATACACCCACTAGTCCTGCTCTTGAAGTTAACCCAACTAATAATAATCCAAATGATGCCGCGGCTGACCCTCCTGCTACTGCCCCAACTTTTTCTAGACAACCTTCTAAACGGGCAGAAACATTTGTTGTTTGGCCATTTTTTACTCAACTAAGAGAAAAAAATAGGGCTAAGTGTAAAACTTGTGGCAAAGAGTTAGTTTTTAAATATGTCGGAAGTCGAGGGGGAGGGGGGGAGTTTGACTAGATACATATTGCTACACCCTCAAGATAAAGCTAGATATTTTCCTATGAAAGCTTTGGCCGAGGGGACAAGTACACCTAGTCAGACTGACCTTAGTACCGGGTCAAACCAATTTCAACCGGAAATTAACACTGTTACCGGTAGTATTTTATATTATAATCCAAAAAAAAGATCGGGAAGAATTGGCAAAAATGGTTATTGTTATGTGCTTACCCTATAGTTTTCCTTCTAACCCTCATTTTGTGCATTATATTAGAAAAGTTTATAATCCTACTTATAAAGGTTTTCCTCGCACAATCGTAAATAGCGATATTTATAAATATAAACATGAATATGAACAATATTTGCGCTATTTATTTACTTGTCACACCCTATTTTCTACCCGCAAAATAATATTATGTGGATTAAAGGGTTTTTCCAATTAAAGTGACAAAATTGAGTAAGGATTATTTTATTTACAGAGTCGCCACTTAAAATTAATTTTGTTGGTGTTCCAAGTCACCTTTTATTTGAATCCCTAATCAAAGGAAGATTTGACTCTATTATTATTGGTCTGCAAAAATAATGTCCGGGTAAGGAATTCTGTTAACCAGGGAGAAGGTGTAAGGCATTCCCCGAATCCCGTGGTTCTAGCACGGTCGCTTTTATTGACTGAAATTTGGCTTGAATTATTTTTGGATAAAGTGTGTATTATTTGCCTTAAGTTACTATTGTCTAGTGCTGCTTAATAATTAATAATTTTGGCCTAGGAGCGTGCAAGCACACAAAGTCCTTATTTGATTATATATATTAAAACAAAGAACGTGTCAGTACGCATGGTTTAAATACAATTAATAATGAAAAGTCAAGGAGCGGGAATGCACACATGACTACTTTATTAAAAAAAATCGACCAAAGACCGTGTATGAACACATGGTCTACATCTCAAACGTGCCTAAAATTGCCTTTCGCTTAAATTAATTAAAAAATACTTCTTTTTTATTTATTACTTGTTCGACTGAAAAAAAAATTATTATTAAAAATAATTTTCACTAATACAAGACATTAAACCCGGGTAAGCTTATGTTAAACTTTCATGGTATTGGGCCACTTATTTTATTTAACAAAAGATAATTTATTGGTTTTAAAGAAAATGTTCATCTTGCTTTCTATTGTCATTGGGCCTACAAATTTTAGCTTATTTGGCCATGTTACTTAAGAGCCTCGATGACCAAGACAATACAAAATAACAAGTATTCTTCTAAGCCCAAATTGCTTCTTACATTGATGTCCAAACTAAAAATTATTTTTTTCATAAAAGAAACTTACATGCTAATTATTATCTTTTATCTTCTTAACCAACTATTTCTTAAGGACTAATATAATATTTCTACTCATCTACACCAATCATGGCACTAATCAAACTACACTCATTAACAACATAAAAACCACGACTAAATATAAAAACTATATAAAAAAGGTAATACTTCAATGCTAAAGAGAAGAACTATATTAAGTATAACATTATGTTTACTATAATTCAAAGCATCAAAACATTTGAAGCTAGAAGTCTTTCTTAGATAATTATATATGAACCATGAAAGTAACTCATGGAAAAGAGTCCAAACTAAACAAACATGGTCAAAAGTGGGGTCTTTATTTTTTCCTTAAACTAAATAATCTTAACAGAACAATTTTAATCACATATATAAAGAAAAAAAATGATAATTTAACTAATTTTTAACAGATTTACATGATGATAACACTAATATAACATTCATCTTAAAAAAAATCAGATCTAATATGTTCCATCAACCAAACCGGGATCAAATCCTTCTTATTATCATCAAGAATCTGCAATATAAGAATTTGAAAGTTACCTGATTTGTGTAATAATAAAATACAGCAGTGCAGCAACAAAAAACTCAGCAGCAAATACAGTAGAAACAACAGCAACTCAAGTATTAAGACAACCCAGAAAACTCAACAAAGATGCTTGAAATTGGTAGCTATCAACTTCACAAATTGCCTAAGGGATCTTTCTATTTTTCTCGAGGTTTTCGCACTCAAATAATCCTCACAAAACTCTGAAATTTCAGCTTGTTATATGTATTAAGCTGCTGATTTTTCTCAAAGATATATGTCTTTTTGCAACTCTCCAAGATGTGTCTCAGTATAAGATAGAGTGTGTAATAGAGTGTCCCTCCTCTTTTCAGTGAGTAAAGAGCCCTTTAAATAGGCAAATAAATCAGATTTTTTGGACAAATTTTGGTTCACCAAAAGTTTGTCCAAAAGACTGACTTTGTGTGCTAAACACTGTTCAAAAGCTGTCAAAAAGTATTGTACTTGTCACCACACAATGACTTTTGAGTTTTGCACTCCAAAGTCTTTGCACAGTAAAAACAACCAAACTTGTACTATTCCTTCTTTAATTTCAGCTTTTATCAACACAAAAATTCAAATACTCAAATCCAATAAAAACAAATTCACTAAGCACTTGAAACTTCTATCATAAACTATCATGACTAAGCAAATAGCTATTTCAAAACTAATGAATAACTAATTATC